CAACACTGAGGGTTGCGATCCGTTGCCGGACACGGAAAAAAAAAAGATAAAAGACAAAAAAAAAAAAAAAAAATTCATACAACTCAAAAAAGTATCAAGGTAAATTGTATATTCTCTCATTTTCTCCACACCCCCCCTCCCAGTAGCTCAAAATCATGCCATATTTTAGCTTGCTTTATATTTTGATCATACTTTAATTTGCAATTTCTTTCTGAAACTTGTATTTCCATTTCTATGAAAGTAATACATATTCATAATTTTTAAATTAAAATAGTTCTACATGGCTTAAAATGGAAAACACTCTTCCCTTCCACTACCCTTCAATGCTCCCTACAGGCGACCATTCTCAACTCTTTGAGCTCTTTTCTCATGTCTTTATTAAAGACATGCTCACACTGCTGTTTGCTATTTCTCAGTTTGAAATATTATAGTACTGACCTCCCACTATGCAGGATGAGGTCTTTTGCACACCCCACACACAAACACACACATTCTACCCATACATGTGCTTCTCCTCCTTAGTTCTTCCAGTGTGTTTATGTCCGTTTTTTGTTAAATCAGTAGGCAGTGTTTATGTTATTATAACTCTGTAACTTATTTACACTTGAGCTGTGTAGTTTCTATGTACCCGTCACTTATCCATCTCCAGATTCTCTGACTAAATTGAAATACGTTGGTCTTTCTATGGATTCCATTGTGTTCCTGGTGCTTTCCCTCCTTCTGCACCCAGGTAGTTTGGCTGCTCTTCAGGCCTGTTGCAATCTGTCAAGCTCACATTGCCCTTCATGTGTGCCCTGGGAATCCACTGGTCTCTCTCCTGGGTTGGGTTTCCTATTTCTTGGACCCTCTTGCTTGGTTTACTCTCCTGTTTTGGTAGAACACCTTCTCCTGTACCCTCCCCCAAAAGGTGCATAGAATGAAACATTTTTATATGTTGCATGTCTGAAAATAATCTTATTCTATCCTCACATTTGACTAATAACTTTATTGGATATAGAATTTTAGTTTGGAAAACATTTTCTTTCTGAATTTCAAAGGTATTGTTCTGTTGTCTTCTAGCTTCAAATGTTGCCTTAAATAAATTGTCTGATACTGTTATAATTACTGACCCTTTGCATCTGACCTAGTTTTTTCTTTCTGGGAGGTTTTAGATTCTTCTGTGCATCTGATAATCTGGAATTTCATGGTATTGTGCCTTGGTGTGTGAACCTTTTTGAAAGAAAAAACAAACTAATGAGCCAGGCACTCGGTGGACTTTGGAGAATTCCCATTATCTAGATGTTGGATTTCTTTGACTGAATCTCTAATTTCCTTATATTTTGTCTCCTAATTTCTCTCTTTAACTTTTTTGTTTATTTTCTCAGGAAAATGTCATAAGCTTTATCTTCTAAATTTTCATAACATTTATATATGACTATCAAACTTTTTAATATGCAAGAGATTTTAATTCTCTGAATGTTCCTTTTTAGGGCATCGTGTTCTTATTTCATGATTCATATCACTTCATCTCTTCTGATCCTGACCTTATTTATTTCCTCTAAGTTTCCTTATATTGCTTGTTTGTTTCTGGTTAATTTAGGTTTCTCTTTCTTGTTAGTGGTTTCCCTCAAATGACTGGTTGTCCTGGGCTGTCCATATTCATGAGTGAGGATGAAAATGCTGGTTGGAAGCAGTGTGAGCACTGATGGGGCATGTCAAGTGTTATGGACTTCATGTTTGTGTCCTCCAAAAATTCATATGTGGAAACCCTAATCTCCAATGTGATGGTATTTGGATATGGGGCCTTGGGGAATTAAATAGGTCATGAGGGTGGAGTCCTTATGATGAGATCAGTGCCCTTATAAGAAAATACACAAGAGCTTCCTCTCTCTCTCTCCTGAACAGCAGAAAGGCATCTATCTGCACACCAAGAAGAGGGCCTTCAACAGACATCAGATCTACTTCTGCTGGCATTTTGCCATCCAGTCTATAGTATTTTTGTTACAGCAACCCAAACTGACATCAAGGTAGATAGGTGTGCATGTATAGTGGTTAGACAATGACTTGGCTCTTTCATTGGGGGACCCTCAACTATCAACACCTGTAGTCATTTCTCTTGGATAATCCATTTCCTCAGAGAAAAATCTAACAAACTCTTGAGCAGAAATGAGAGTAGCAGTGACGGAGTGAAGGAGAGGCATATATATCCCCAGTTTCAGCATTCTCAGAGCACATGAGAACTGGTGGTCACCAGTCAGAATGGAGGCTTGCACACAGTCTCCATTCTCAGTCATTGTGACTGGTGTTTCCAATCTGGAGACACCTCCATAGACTAAACCTTTTGTCAGGCCTCACTGCAACATGGTGCAGGGAATCTAAAGCTCTAGCTTGTTATATCAACATCAACCATACCGTTGAAAGAAAGACATGGAACCTTTCGTTCCTGAGCATTTCCAGGGTGCTGTAAATGATTTTGCTTATTCAGATTTCTCTCCTGTAAGCACGTGGCTTTCTGCTTTTCCTTTCTTGACCATCATCATTATACATATATAGTGCCTTTTTAAAGTCCCTTAACTGTAGTTTTTTTGGGAATTGGGTTATGAATGTATGCATTCAACCTGTCATGTTTAACTGAAAAAAAATGAAAAATTCCTATTGAGGACCCTTTAATAAAGTTTCTGAATCCTTCTGTCTCTGAAAGTCTGTGCCTTGCCTTGATTTCTGTTCCTTTACGGGTAATCTGGTTTTTTCTCTCTGAAAGGTTTTATGGTCTCTTCTTTATCTTTGATTTTAAATTTCACAAATTTTTCTCTAGGGGTGGGGATTTTTTCATTCACCTTGTGTAGTGCTTAGTGGGACTCGCCAACCCCAGGAAGAATGGCTGTCACCTCATTCCACCTTCTTCTCTACATGTTTTAAAGGGCATGTCCCTCCATACTGGTTTATCCATCAGTAGAATTTCATTTGCTTTGGATCTTCAAAATAATTCTTCAGAATCTCAGGGCTGATTCTGCCCACTCCCTTTCTCATCTATGTTATGAACCTATCCTCTTTGTGAATCCTGTAACCTCAATAGGATTTCAGGAAGGAGGGAGGGTAAACACTTGTACCTATCTGTCACCTTTACCTAGAAGTTTCACTTCTCTTTCAACATACTCATCACCTGATTGCTTAGAGCACAGAATGCCCAAGTTTCTGGGGCCAGCCCGTGGCTCACTCGGGAGAGTGCGGTGCTGATAACACCAAGGCCCCGGGTTCGGATCCCACATAGGGATGGCCGGTTCGCTCACTGGCTGAGCGTGGTGCTGACAACACCAAGTCAAGGGTTAAGATCCCCTTACCGGTCATCTTCTAAAAAAACAAAAAAACAAAAAAACAAAAAAACAAAAAAACAAAAAAAAAAAAAAAAGAATGCCCAAGTTTCTGCTTTCTAAGTCAACTTGCAGTTGTTTGTATGAAACTTCACTAGAATATTCTTAGAAGGAAGAAACCAGTTTTATTTTACATCATTTTTGTGCATACCTAGAAAAGATGGCTAATTAAAAATTTTATGCCAGAAGAGAACTATTTAAATTATTTATATTGCTATTTATACTTAATTATAACATTCTTGAATAAAAAACAACCCAAGCAAGACTCTTAAAAGAGAGTAGTGTGATTATAGTTTACCTTGCTCCTTTGTCCATTTTTTCCTTTCTCTTTTTTTCACTTTTCTCTTCTAAATGATGATTATCCCTAAGTCCATTCCACCTGCTTTTCTGGGGGGTGTATTTATTTTTGTTCACATTATTTTCCATATGCACTTTTGAAAAATCAATCTATTTTATGATTCTAGAGTCCATAAATCATTATATAGTGCCTGCAGAAGGGACTTTAACACTAAGGTACTCATTAAAGAAAAATGCCAAGAGATCTTAAATACTTTGATCTTTAACTTTGAAAATAAAAGCTTTTGGCTCTTCATTAATCACTTAGCTTGCATGTCTACTTCTGAACTCTTTCCCTGGGTTTTACTAGAATTAATAACAAGCTTTTCAAAGCCATTATTTAATAGTTAAGTCTTCTAGCTTATGAAATTTTCTCAAGAATAGAAATAAAAATATAATTTCAATATGAAAGTAATTAGTGGCCATGCACCAAAAATTAAATGGATAAGGTGAACAACTGATTTTATACAACTCAATTATGTTGAATGTTATAACAAATATTATTTTATTGCTATTAGTAGTCATCATCCTATACCTACCAATTCTAAAGGATTTTTTAATTTTGTCTTTGGCAAAATTTTATTCTTTCTCTGACCAGTACAGAAAATTTGGGTTATTTTCTAGTTAAACAAGTTAAGAGCTTTTATAAATACAAATGGAAAGTTTATTTACTGGTATAAAAATTTTAAGGGACACCGGAAATGTCCCAGATACAGCTTCAAAAATCTTGTTTTCTGAATGTTAGAAATAGCCTTAAAATTGGTCAGGCAAAGGGCATAAAGAAATATCACGATGTGTAAAACTGAACATACTAATAATAAATAAAAAATTTTAATTTATATTGCTATTTATTGGGATGAAGTTGCTAGCTTTGATGAGACTCAAATTTTTTATTATTAATTTTTGAAGAATTTAATTTTCCACAAAAACAACTGACAGTTAAATGAATATATAATCAGAAATATTGCTAACTCTCAGCATTAAATATTGGGGGCTTTTCCATTCCTTTTAGGCTTACTGTTGTCATTCTGTCATTACATGATGTGTCAAGAAATATGTATTTTTAGTAAATCATTTGCTAGTGAAATACTGTTCTATATAATTGAAAAAACAAAAGAATTTCCTATAGTTTAAATCTCAAGAATCAATTCCCCAAAGAAAATATCCTGAATTTAAAATTTGCTTCAAAAATGAAATAGGTTTGCTTTTACAGCACAGTCTTTGGCATAATCAGTCTTTTTACTGAAGTTGAGTCCTAGATGAAGGAGCCCAGATTTGGCTCTGTGGCTGGCTTGCAAAATGACCTGCAATCCCAGATCATCAAATGTGCCACTTTGTCTCTAGTTCATTGATTTTCCAATCATAAAATAAGAAGACTAATATTTCTCTCTCTGTGTGCAAGGTCATAGAATCCATGCCTTCTGTAATCTATACCTCAGCCATCCAGCCCACACATAAGAAAATGTATGCTGTAAGAAAAGTTGGGAAGTTTACTTCAAGTAAACTTGAAGTTGGACTCTGAAAGATTATTTTATTCTGCTTAGGGCTTTAAGCCTTGGAAGTAATCTTAGATGGGATGGCAGTAGAATTTTCATAATTAAAGCACTTGTTTTATTCATTGGTGCCAAAATTTCCCTTCATAAAAATTATAACATTTAAAAGAACTCCTATTGACCTAGAATGAGCATTTGATTAATCTTTTCAATAACCCCCCCAAAATTTTTTTCATCTTTAAAAAATATTTTTAGCATAGCTGTTGGGTTTTTATTACAAAATGCTTACTGAAATTTCAAACAGCTTGCCCTGTGGAAAATTATTTGTGACAACTTGCTTGAAATTATTTTTTCAAGATATACGGAATAATATATGGGAAATATATGTGCAAGTGTACATATATCTGTTTACATTTTTTAAAGTGAGAAGCTTTTAAGAGCTTATGAAATAGAAAGATTGCAAGATTCAAAGCATGGATACCCTTAAGTGACAACTTACCAATAAATAGACCGTGCTGTAGTAATTTTAGTACAAACAGGCATGTATTCAGTGTCTCGTGGGCCACTTGTTGAATGAGAGGACTCCAGATGGAAGGTAAGAACATGTAATCACAGGAGCTTTTAGGGTGGGTCCTCAACTCAGTAAAAATAAAAATAAAGGTACTGTGTTTCTTGAAAACTGGCCCCTAAATTTTCTTTCTCTACTTCAGAATGTGGCAGTGATGTGTGTTCAGAGTTTTTGAAGGTTTATGAAGCATTGAACACAACTTGATACTATTCAGCATGTTTACAAATGCATTTTGAAATATTTACATTGCTATCTATATAAAAATAAAACTGTGAACATCTGGACAAGAACACTGGTCTACTCGCCGAACTTTTTTCCAAGTTCCTTGACATCGAGGATTGCCAATTGCTTGCCAATGGAGAGTTTGATTTCTGAAAACGGTATTTTGAAAATGTTAGTTACACCAAAAGCAAACCAAAGAAAATTCTAATTTACAAAATTATAAATTGAAGTTTTTTAAAAAAATTACTTATCACACAGTATTTTGAAGTACATCACAAATCAAACCTTCTTAAAAAAAAAAAAAAAAGATCACAAAGAGAGTTTCCCTTCTTTAGGTTCTGTCAAAGCAAGTTACCAACTAATGCCTATTTGAGGACACCCTCATGCTGAGAGAGTAGTTTGGGATTACTGTATTCATATGGCTGTTTCATGTATATTTAGACTAGGAGAGTCTGAAACAAATGATCTCTTTTAATCCTTTCCAACTCTTTGATTTCATAATGAAAAAATGGGAGAAATAGAAAGAGCGAAGCCAGATTATTAAAATTATAATTTTTAACATCACTAGTGCTTCAGCCAGGGCTTAAGTACTTTCTTTATGGGTACAAATTAAATTATAAATTCATTTAAAGTCAAAATATGGATGAGGTATTCAGAATAATATTGTCTAAATATTAAGTTTCTGTTTGATATGAATTCCTCACACACTTTATTGTTCATATGGTCTATACTCAATAGAGGCCTTTAGGCACAAGTGACTAATAAACATAAATTCAAGTTATTAAATATTAAAACATTCTATGGGAATAATGATTAACTGGAAAGGTCTATATGTTACTTTTAATCTATATTTTTACCCGCTCCACTGGACATGCTTAAAACCATAATCCATGTGCAATCTAAATTGGTCTTTGTCCAATAGCTGCCCAGCATGAAGCTGACTCTTCTCTTAGTTATGAATAGTGTCATCAGATTTAAATGGTAAATAAGCACAGGACTCAAATAGATGGGCAGGGTGGCAAAATGATTTTGGAGTCAATTCTTTTGGAAAATCTATAAATTTATATAGGATTATTACCCTGCAGAGCTGAGCCCACTATACCTCAGTTATAATTTTATAAAAGAGCACCACTGAGCAGTGACTCTAAAACTTCACATGGGTATGAATCACCTGGGCAGGGATCAGCAAACCATGACCCCTTATAGGCCAAATCCAGCCTACCCCCTCTTTTCTGTATGGACTGTGGGTTGAGAATGATTTTTACATTTTGAAGAGTGAAAAGAAAATCAAAAGATTAATAACATTTTGTGACACATGAAAATTATATGAAATTCGAATGTTAGTGTCCATAAATAAAGTTTTGTTATAACAAAGCCAAGGTTTACATAGTGTCTTATGGCTGCTTTCCTGCTAACACGTCATAGTTGAGCAGTTGTGACAAAGACCATATGGTCTGCAAAGCCAAAATTATCTACTCTAGCCCTTTACAGATGAATTTTTCTGATCCCTGATCTAAGAGATTATTAAAAATCCACCCCCATCAATCTGATTCAGTTGGTCTGAAGTGGGGCTCAGGAATCTGTATGTTTTAAATCCCCATCCCAAGACATTCCGATTCAAGTGGTCTTCAGAATACCATTTTGGAGTGGTCAGGTTTTTGGCAGCCATTGGGAGCTTGATCTGAACTCCAGTATCCAAACTGACCCAATCATCTCTGGTATATAGAGCCTCTGCATTCCACAGTGGGAATGGGAGCCCTAGACTCAGGGACCACTAGAGGATGGTTCCCCTCTTTTACTGTGATGCTTGCCCTTATTTGACCCCCAAAATTATGCTTTTATATGTTCCATACTGGTCAGCCATTCAGGACGTGGAGAGGACAGATCTCTCAGAATGAGTAACAGGAAAAGTCTCTCAGTCAGTTTCCTTCCCTTACCCATCAGAGTCCAGGCCATCTCCGGAACAGCGAAGGCTCACGGAGTTCATGGCAGGAGGTTGACACTCGACACACACCGTGTACCCCTCCCGGAGATACTGCATCCATCGAGTCAGGGGGCGGTTCTCCAGAGCACAGTGAGGAGTCAAGGACTCTGTCTTGAACTCCATACAGTATCTAGAGCAAAAGAAGCAACATTTTCACGTGCTGTGATTGAGAATCAGGGGACGCTGTAGAAAGTCTTCGGAAGGACATCATCTCTGAGGGCTTTTGGCAGACTGGACCAGGTGGGGAGTGCCTGCTCACAAGTTAATAGAACGCTGCAGCTTAATCAATGGGCTAGTTTCTTATCCATCGATTATGAGCTGTAGTATGTATAGGGGATCTGCTTCAGAGATCTTAACAATATAGGTACTAGTTATTAAGTACATTTAGGCAGGTACTATTTATTAAGTACGTTTAGTAGGTACTATTTATTAAGTACCTTTAGTTATGGAGATAGGAAATTCTACTATGTGGGTTCAGTCAACTTCAATCAAACAACTTAACCCAGACATTTCTTCAATGCTATTTTCATTCAATACTCATACCAACCCCATGTGATAAGTATTAATATTCTCATTTTTAAAAAAGAAAAAAACTGAGATGAAACAAGTCATCCAAGGTCTTACAGCTCATGAGTGTCACTGTGGGGATCTGAACACGCAGCCATCTGGTATACCTTACCTTATGGCAGAAGAGTGAACTTCAGATGAGCATGGAGGTGCCTTCCAGCCTGTGCCATTAGGTTTCAATAAGAAATCCTCTGCACTGAAGTATGTGCCACTTTTAAACTCACCAAAAAGTGGTGCCACAGTCTATGGTCTCATAAAGTCTATAAGAGGGGCATCCTTAGTGTGATTGATAAATAATACTAGGATGATAATATCCTCTCATTTTTATATAGCTTGTTTTTTCTTGAAGAGCAAATCTCAGAGACAGAGGGGACAAGTACTTTCCCAACTCTCTGCTGAAGAGTCATGTTTTATCCAAAGTCAGGACCAAGTAACAGAAGAAAACATAGTCAAACCAAATTGACCCTTTTGGACAGACGTGACTATATGACTGGAAAATCATAAATTCAAAAAAAAAAACACCACCACCAAATTACCCGGCATCCTCGGTGTGCATAGACCACTGTGGAGATGCAGCTTGTCTTGTTCTCTCCTTGTTGAACGCAGAGGTAGTTATAAAGGCAGGAACTAGAAAAGGAGAATCACGTGGAACACATATGTAGCCACAGTACTTAGAGCAACACTTCCCAAACTTAAGTATCCATTTCTGTATCCAAAGTTCCGTGACACACCATCAAGGAGTGACATGAGGCTAAGTTAGTGTCCCTAGAACCAAATTCAATAAAGATTTGTGTGCATGCAGATGGGTGGATTGGGGATTGCAGGCCTCTGACAGGCACGTTTGTCTGTAGTAATAAAACTGTGTGAAAGGAAGGAGAGAGGCCAGGAAGAAAAACCAGGAGAAATAAAAAGATGGGGGGTGGGCAAGGAAAAAAGTGAGGCAATAGAGAATGGAGAGAACGGGAGGGGATATTTTTATTTTTTATTTTTGGTAGCTGACCAGCGCAGAGATCCTAACCCATGACCTTGGTGTTATAAGGCTGTGCTCTAACCAACTGAGCTAACCGGCCAAACCACTTTTTTAATGAGAGAAAGTGAAGCAGAGAAGAAAAGGGAAAGATAGAATGAAGTAAAAGAATAGAAAGGAGCAAGAGAAGGAAGAAAGGAGAGAAAAAATGAGAAAAGAGAGAGAAAGAGGGATAGAAGGAGAAAAAACAGACACCCAGAGAGAGGGAAGAACTGAGAAAGGAAAAAACAGAAGAGGAGAAGGAGGAAGGAAGTGAGAGTGCTCCCTTAGCCTCCTGGAACTTCAGCCTGCAAGCTCTGCCTACCTGACCGGGCTCGGGTGTCACTGCCCAGCACTGGCCAGCACGGCATCATCCCCACCCAGCCTTGGGGAAGACAGTCTGAAGTGTTCCCCTTCTCTTTGCTCTCCTCCCCCAACCCTACCCCAATTCTGATGGTCTGCCTCAAAGAAAAGGAGCCAGAAGCCTTCCTCCCTCCCCTGCTCTCTAATTTTATTTGGTGTCTCCTCTCTATTTCGTCCCTATGTCTGGGGAGGCACCTGTTGCCGTATACAGCACCTAGAGGTTACCTCTTGATTCCACGCTGCTGTCAACTCAAGGAAAGTGAGGCTTTGCCTCCCTCATCACTGTAACCTTCACATTTACACATGCGGTAAATGTTTGTGCAATGAGTGAATGGGGCCACCAGTGACTGAATGGAGTCCTGGGACTGCCACCAAGACGCCCAGGTCCTCCTTCCCTGGGGTCTTCTGTTCCTGCACTGAACCTTGTGGCTGAGATGGCTCAACAGTCCTTCCTACATTTTGTTTCAGAAGCTGGACAATCCCAGGAAGGGCAGATACAAACCGATGTTGGCTTGTGAGATGCCACAGTCATCCTTAGCAGGAGCAAAATGGCACGAGGGGACCAGCTGCACGATAGACCTTCCAGCCTACATGTTGGCTCTACTTGGCTTGTTACTGCCACAAGAGGGCAGGCCGTAATTCTCTTTTAGATTTTCTTAATGAGGAGTCATTTTGTACTACTAGGGAATGTAAGACAAGAGCGGCCTGATGCCAGGTAGCCACTTGCTCCCAGCAGTCATCGGGACGGTTCTTGTCTCCTGCGGCTTGCTGCCTAATCTCTCCAGGGTGAAAATTATTCACTGCTAGAGTGAATCCTAGAGTCCCAGCTTGTGTGGCTCTTTCTTGCTGCACGGACATGTCTAATTGTTTTCCAAAGACAGCATGTCATGCTTTCCAAATGTGACTGTAGCGTTTGCATTTCTAAAATACACAGACAGATTAATAAGAGCAAGTGACTGCATGTCTATAACAGAATCCTTCTGTTTCTCTCAGACCTAATTATCAGAAACACAAACATCTAAAGGATTTTTGTTTCCCATGTATTGTTTTCATTTCTGTTCTTCTGACACATGTATGTGTCTATTCACCAAGTGAAGAATAAAAATTACTGCTAAATCCATGCTGTGTTGCACAAGTCATACTATAAAATTTTCAAGATATATTTCTTTAGCTCAAAACATTTATTTGATCACCTAATTTGTACTGCATATATCATTACAAAAGTTTAAAGGTTAGGTACTTGATGTATAGATCAGAAAAAAAATAAAGTTAGAAAGTGGAAGGGAAACTACAGTTTCTGAAATAAAATCCTTAGAAAAGGTTCTATTGTAATCAAAATAAAACCTAACAATTATGCAATTCTGTTTCCAGGCACAACAGCTAAGTCTCTTTCCTTGTATTAATTCATTTATCACAACAGGAGGACACAGAAGAGAAGACTGTGGCACAGAGAAGTTAAGAAGTGTGTTCAAGGCTCATGTCTAGTACGGCAGAGCCAGGCCATGTCTCAGTGCCACACAGCCTTTACAGTAATGCAGATGACAAAATTCTACTATTTATGCAGCATATTTTCTTTTCTTTTTTTTTTTTATTGAAACATAGTTGATTTTACATACCTGTGGGGTACAGCATTGGATATCAATATGTGTGTGCAATATGTGATGTGCAAATCAGGATAATTAGTGTATTCAACATTACACGATATAATCATCTTTTGTGGCCCTTTACCAACTTCTCACTAAACCCACCACCCCGGCCCCTTTCCCACCTCTGTTAACCTCAGTTCTATGCAGCATATTTTCCATAAATTATTTGAATTCTGCTTTATTTCCCCTTTCTGTCCCTAATCACTATCCTCAAAGTCAAGTCAGATTTAAGAAAGGAAAAGGGAAACTTTTAGCACATTGTACTCTGAGTCCCCTCAGGCCTTGCAATAGGGGTGGGACGTGGGGTGGGGACTGTAGTCTGGAGGTGGGGGAAGGGCACTCGGGGTGCAGATTTACATCCCTAGTATGATGGCCCCTTGTGTTTTTATAGCCTAAGTAATTTCTCATCATCTGTTACCAATCTTCACAAAAACTTCATCGAGAGGTATTATATCATTTTTGTTCACCAGAAAACGGAGGTGCCTAGAGGTTGAATGAAGGGAAAATAAATGATAAAGGACTAAGGAAGGGCCCAACACAGAAGATAGCTTTTGTTTTTTAAGACTTACTGTCCGCGTTCATTTTCAAGCTTCTGCGGCCATGGCACATCATTAAAGCAAGGCAGTTGCCCAGGACCTTGTCCCCTGGGCTTGGTTTGGTGGCACATTCTATTGTGAGGTGTCCCTCCCCCTCACAGGACTTTTCAGTAAATAGACCTGGAGCCAGATGGCCTGCAGGTCTCTGAATCAGCACTGTGTTTTAATATTCCCCACAAATTTAATTTTCATTACCTAAGAGTGGTAAATAATTTCTAAATTATTTTTGCCTTCAGTACATAGCCGGTGCCTGGGGACAAAGGTTCTCCATAAATGTTAGCTCCCCTCCCTTCCTCGTCCCTGGCAATATTCAGATGTAATGTAGTCTTTGTTCACAGGCTGTTGGCCAGCTTCCCTGGCATTCTGTCAGCCTAGCATTGTTTGGTTCTACAACAACTTCCACTTCCAAAAGCATGGAACCACACATACTTACTTTGAACATGAAAGTAAATTCGATTTGCTTTGAGAATTTCATAAATGCCTTCTGACACAATGGGTGTCACAAAAGCAGGCTTAGAATCACTGGTCTGTGGATATAGTGAAGAAGAGAATAAAATGAAGATTTGACAAATAACACCTACCTGGAGCATAGAGTTCATAAGAGAGCACATTGATCTCCTTTTAGGAGGAAAACACATGAACAATTGTCAGTAATGTGTAATAAATTCAATAATGTAGCTTTTAAAATTTGTGTTTATGATAAAATGTAATCATGATATGCATTAAATAAAACAGGAACAATTCAATAGCCACTTGATCATTGATAAGAAAGCGTCAGTGATCATGTTCACTCACTGGCTTCCCAGGGCCTTATATTTCTCCTTAGTTATCATCATCTGAAATCACAATTTTAGCTCCAGCCATGACAGTTAACAGCAAAACAATACTGAGAGGGGAAACCCACAGGATTTAGAGCCATGTGACCAGGTTTAAGTTTTGGTAGCTCTTCACAAGTGCTGTCACCTCTCAGAACACCAATGTCCTCATGTGTAAACCAAGGATAGCAACCCTGTCCCATCTCCCTGTGATAAACATAATAATGGGCATGTCCCAATCCCTAGAACCTGTGAATATGTTACATTACATGGCAAAAAGGAATTAAGATTACAGATGGAATTAAGGTTGCTACTCAGTTGACTTTAAGTAATCTAAAGATGATTTGACGTATACAGGAGGGGCTGGCCGGTTAGCTCAGTTGGCTAGAGCATGGTGCTGATAACACAATGGTCTGGGTTCAATCCCTGTACCGGCCAGCTGCAAAAAACAATTTTTTAATAAAAAATAAAATATTAAAAAAAAATAGGAAGGCTATCCTAGATTATCCAGGTGGGCCCAATGTAATCACAAGGGTCCTTAAAAAGAGTCAGTCAGAGGGAGTTGTGACTATGGAAGAAAGGCACAGAGAGATGCAATGTTGCTGGCTGTGGGGACGGAGGAAGGGGACTATGAGAAAAGAAATGTGACCATCCTCTGGAAGATGGGAAATGCAAGGAAACAGATTCTCCCCTAGAGCCTCCATAAAAAAATGCAGCCCTGCTGACACCTTGATGTTAGCCCAGTGAGACCCATGTCAGACTACTGACCTACAGAACTGTACGATAATAGATTTGTGTTGCTTGGGTCACCACGTTTGGGGTAATTTGTTACCTCTGACTTTCTGAGATATGGACAAAAGGTTGTATAGCCACACCCTTGGCGTTTTTCTCTAGAACATGCTTTCCTGAGAGTAAATCTCTTAATTTTAGCATCCTTTGCTATTTTGGTAGGCTGAGAATTTCCCAATTCATCAAGTCCTGATTCCATTAAGATTAAATGTTCTTCCCTCAGGCCGGCCCGTGGGTCACTCGGTAGAGTGCGGTGCTGATAACACCAAGGCCACGGGTTCGGATCCTATATAGGGATGGCCGGTTTGCTCACTAGCTGAGCGTGGTGCTGACAACACCAAGCCAAGGGTTGAGATCCCCTTACCGGTCATCTTTTAAAAAAAAAAAAAAAAAGTTCTTCCCTCAATCTCTCTCTCTTCTCTGTTTTACTACAAGCACCAAGAAGAAATCAGGCTGCAGCTTCAACACTTTGCTTAGAACTCTCCTCAGATAAATATTCAAGTTCATCACTTACAAATTCTACTTTCCACATAACTGTAGGGCACAACTCACCTTTCTGCTCCTATATATTAAGGACCCCCTTTTCTCCATGAAAAGGCAAAGAAACAAATTCCCTCTATAACCTTCAGAAAAGAACACAGCTTTGCTGACACAATTTTAGTCCAGCAAAACCTGTGTTGGAATTCTATCCCACAGAACTGTAAGGTAATAAATTTGTGTTGTTTTAAGCCACTAAGTTTGTGGTAACTTGTTATAGCAGCTACAGAAAACTAATACACTCCTTTGTAGGATTGCTATGAAGACTGGATCAATAATGTCTATAAAAGCTCTCTGCCATGTGAATGTAAGAGATTCATATGCCATGCAACAAAGGCTCCTGCATTGTGAATAGAAGTCTGGTAGGGGCTGGGGGAGGCAGTAACAGGTACACAGGTGACCAATAGCAGGACTGAGAGCCCCTAGATTGAGGTGATTGCTCTTGTTCCCTGGTCCCACAACAACCTGTGTATTCTTCTATCACAGAGCTCATCACATTTAGTTAGAATTAGCTGTGATATGTTTATTATTCAAGTTTGGATCTTCAAAACCTAACACAGTGCTGACGTGTAATAGGTGCTCAATGAGTGCAAAACTAATGAGTCACACAAGTGAATGCACAGGAGCTGGGGTAAATCTACCAAACTGAGTGTCATGTAACTGTCTCTTATTTCCCTCTTGTCCCTTAGTCATCCATCATTTTCCAAAGTGTATTCCACAGGACACAAATGATTTTAGTGGGATGCCCTGTGGAAGGAAGAGAATACAATCAAATAAATTGGGAAAACACTGCATTTCCTAATCCCCTCTTATAGAATGAAAATGCATATCAGCGTAAATAAGGCTCTGAAAAGTTCTTCGGTAGAGAAAACTGTCTAACAAATTTACTCCACATTTTCCTGACATCCCCTTTTTTGGCACAGCTGTTATAACAAAAGAGGATGCACTTTGGGAAATTTTGCCTCTAGGAAAGTGTTGTTTAAGTGACCCAGCTATAACACAAGGTTGTGTGTCCATGCTAAGACTGGAGCAGAGGTTCTCAAACTCCACAAGCATCAGAATCTCCTGGAGATCTCACTACAACAGAGTGCTGGGCCCACCCCTGGGGGATTCTGATCCCTTGGGTCTGGGTGGGGTCCAAGGTGCACGCATTTCTAACAGGCTCCCAGGTGCTGCTGCTATTGGTCAGGTGAGGAAGCACTAGACTGGAATGTTCACGGTGCCCTATCTTCCCCAACTAAATGTGACAGGAGTAATCATCACCAAGACATCCCCAATGGGAACAGGAATCCCGAGGATCAAAGTCAGGACTGCAGATGCCAGTGGCCCCGCCCCAAGCAGAGGTTTCTCCTCTTTCTAAGCTAGGAGATTTTATTTTCATTATTAGGAAAGGAGGCTGTTAAGTACAGATATATCCTGCTAGCATTAAACCAACATCACCAACAACTTCAGGGAAATCAGAGAAGACTGCTTGCTTCTTAAAATGCTCTTAGTGGAGTGTGGTGGAGGACTGGTGAGAGGGATAATTTGGGAACACAAGGACCAGTGGAGGATAGGCCAGCTAAAGGAGGAGGAGTGGAAATCTATGAGCAAAGATCCCCAGGGGTTGGGTGTGGCCTAGATCTGACCAGTGCCACACTGTCCCTTACACCGCTGATAATGTCACTCCCTGGTGCCCTTCGCCCTTGATCCATAGTGTCTTCTTCTTGACCTTCCTCCACCTCTCCTGCATTGTCCTGTTGTAAAGAGATCCTGGGATGGGAAGGGGTCTGCGACAGCCTGGTGCAGCATTGAAGAGTCCAATGTGCTGAAGAAACACTTTCTAGCAGCCAAACACTGTAAATAAGTAGAGCAGTTGCTTTTCCTGATAGACCGACTCTGAGTTTTAAGAGCCATCAACAAAATCAATAATGCCACACACCGACTTCCTCCCTGAGCCTTTTTTGCAGTGTTTCTGCAGTGCATGAGCAAAATGTCATTTTGTTCTATGACTGTTTCTGTGAGCAACCACTTTCAAAGCACTAAATTATTTCCCTGTGAGCTTAATGTGACGGCTGATTAACAAGAGGGGCTCTCTATTTGCCACTACACTACCAGAGTGAGCTTTCCAAATCACAGATCTGATTACATTGGCCCCTGCAGAAAGCACCCCAATGGCTTTCTAGGCCTCTTAAGATAAAGACCAGGATCCTGAACAGGGTGCTCTCTGTGCTGCCCACATGCCAGCCTTCCCTGGGCTTCTCACATGGGCCCTGTGCTTCCCTCATGTTGTATAAATGAGCCAAGGAAGGCCCCTCGGTTATTTCCTCATCACAGACTGAGACCCTTTAACTCAACAGTCTACTGCCACCAAACCCAAATGTTTGCACATCCAATTGTTTGAAAAATAGCCAAGCATGCAGGTTTTTAGCCATTTACGGCCTGCCTGCTTTGCACCCCCATGAAACTATACCCAGCATCTGCTGGTCATTGATAGGCTAGAGGCTTATGGTTGTAAGACCCCAAGCTGCTACTGCCCTTCGGAATCTCTGACCCAGAGACACCCCGCCATGCTGCTGAGCGACATCACCTAGACCTGTAAGGTCCCTCTCCAACCCCCATGCCCCTGGCAGTTCTGGTGCCCTCCTCCCCTTCTGGATGTCACCCTCCCAGCCCAGCCCACCATAAGTCTCAGGACAGCCTCATGCTGTGAGGACCTCACCTCTCGTGTAGCCCTGTCCAAGCACTGCCCTGGAAAGCTTGCTGTGCTCCTGCAGCTCATGATCATATTTTTTTCCTTCGATCAGCCCTCGAACCCCTCCAGTCCCCTATGCCCACCCATCAGGTTTAACCACTATGCTAGTCTGTCTGCCTGGGCAGCTCTAGTATCTCAGCCCTATCTCTAGGAAGCCCCTGCCCCTTTCTCCCCCTAAGATGAGGGGGAATCACCTTATTATACCCACTCGTAGCTCCATGCATCTTTCACTCGTTTCTAGTAGTTGAACCAGTCACCACAGCTTTGATTTCTGGGATTAGTTTCCTGGGATTATCTGGTCATAATGCTCCCTCTCTCTCAGCTGTGATCTACAGCGCAGCAAGCTCCACATCGACTTTCTCACTACTTGTAAACCCTGTACCCAGCCCAGCACTCGGCATCAAGTAGACTCTCAATAAATAAGGGCTGGCCAGATAGTTCAGTTTCTTAGAGCATAGCTTTGTAACACCAAGGTCAAGGGTTCAGATCCCCAACAGGCCAGCTGCCAAAAAAAGAAAAAAAAAACTCAATAAATATTAGTGTGTGCAATAAAATAAAGAACGAAATGGATTGATGAGGATCATGTTTATGTGTAATTTTCCCCCTTCCTGCGAAAACATATGGTTTTTGCTATCCTGAAACGTCAGTGTCTTGCCCTACTGGGTTCAATCCAGATCAAGACATCGGGGCCTTTCGTTTCTTTCTTTTTTTTTTTTTTTTTTTAAAAGATGACCGGTGGGCCGGCCCGGTGGTGCACTGGATAGTGCGCCGCTTGGGAAGCGCAGCGGCGCTCCCGTCCGAGGGTTCGGATCCCACATAGGGATGGCCGGTTCGCTCACTGGGTGAGCGTGGTGCTGACAACACCAAGTCAAGGGTTAAGATCCCCTTACCGGTCATCTTTTTTTTTTTTTTTTTAAAAGAGGACCGGTGGGCCGGCCCGGTGGTGCACTGGATAGTGCGCCGCTTGGGAAGCGCAGCGGCGCTCCCGTCCGAGGGTTCGGATCCCACATAGGGATGGCCGGTTCGCTCACTGGGTGAGCGTGGTGCTGACAACACCAAGTCAAGGGTTAAGATCCCCTTACCGGTCATCTTTTTTTTTTTTTTTTTCCGTGTCCGGCAACGGATCGCAACCCTCAGTGTTGCCCCCGTACCGGACCGGGGACCGGCAACGGGATCGCAAGCCTCGGCGTTGCTCCCGTGCCTCGCTCAGCCAGTGAGCGGGAGCCGGTCTGTATGTGGGATCCGAACCCGGGGCCTTGGTGTTATCAGCACCGCACTCTACCGAGTGAGCCACGGGCCGGCCCGTCCTTTCGTTTATTTCTTTGTGAGCTTGGATGGCTGCCAGCTCATTCATGAGCTGACTCCTGGCCCCTCCGTTGGCTACTGCACAACCAGAGTGATCTTTTCAAATCATAAATCTGATCACATCAGACCCAATCCAGTCAGCTGAAGAGCAGAGGCAGGTCTTTTAAGAAAATCATTTTATCATTGTTTAGAAATTTACCAGTTTTCTACTATTTTCACACATTATGAGTGTGCGTGATTAAACAGGAATTACAGCAGAAGGTGAAATAGGGTTACCCTTACTGGACACTTACTGTCCTGCGTGAAATATCACCATTCTATCTAAAGTCCTTTATCACCAATTTGACTGAGTTCACTAAAAACCACCTGGACTTGGTTTATTTTATTACTGAGTCCATGCACAATAAGAATGGGCCATCGGGTTATAAAACATACCAAGGGAAGCAGGGGGAAAGGGAGGCACTCGTGCAGCTGGCCATTAATACCCTTATCAAGCATTTCCTGATCTTCCTATCTACTTTGGGCAGGCTGGCCCATCCCTCTCCCTGCAGCTCATGGAACTTTCCCTGCCTAGTACATGGCCTTTTATGGGATGAAGTGGCCAAAAAGTCATCAGAGATAACAAAAGCAGCAACCATGAAAACATCGGTACCAAAGGAGTGCCCGCAGTCCTGGCCCTGCAGGGTGGAGTACTCCAGGCAGCCAGCTCGCTCTTCCAGGGGCGGGCAGGGTGCCCCACCGTTCTGAGGCTCCTGCTGCACCAAGCGCCTCCGCACACGGGTCGTTGGCTTGCACTGGTTTGCACAACCACTCCAGGGACTCCACTCCCCTACGAAGCATGGGCGAGCTGAAAAACAGCACAATAGGACGCTCACCTGAGTAAACGCAGCCAGGCTGCCAGGCTGTTCCTGCCAACACAAACAGTCGAGTGTATCCCATGTAAACTTCACCTTGACCACGCCTTTGACCCAGCAGAACACATAAAGCCTCAATAGGGCCCAGGTGACATTGATTCCACCCACCCTGATGGTTAACTGATAATCGGTAGCTCTCAGAGGCACGCAGATATCCCTGGATCCTGAAGGTGGATCTGAGCCAGGGACACACACCCAAGCACATGGGACGGATGCCTTCAGGGCACTTCCTCCTACTCCCAGGGTCGGATCAGATCTTCGCTTTGTTTTTCCTTGATATTAACTTTATCTGCCCCTGCCCATAACATTTTTATTATAACAGTAATACATATTCAGTGTAGAAAACAAAGAGAAAACAAGAAGTATAGAAAAGAAAATGACCTTCACCCACTGATGCTCCCATCACCTCAGCAGGTCAATTCTCAGCAAGACCGTGGCTCAGGGCCACGCACAGGGCCCAGTGCTTGTGGCTTCTGCCATGTGCTCTGCTTTCATCCTCCACGACTGGTAGACTCACTGGCTACAACAGGTGGAAGAGAGGGAGGAGCAGCTGGGTCCAGAGAGCTAAGGAGTCCTCGAGATCACACAAGAGGGCAGAGGCAGGACTCGAATGTGGCCCGCGGGACTTGTTCCTCCTGTCCCTCCGTGCTACCCACACTGTCAGCAGCCTCAGAGCTCCGCTGCCGTCCAGTAATGTAGCTTAGAATTCGCTTGCCGGACAAGTCAAGCCGGTGCCTTTAGAAGCTTCTGAAGTCCACTTACCAAATCCGAAGATGGAATTTAAAAATCCAGTTTCCTCACCACAAAACAACATGGTTTCACATTTAACTTTCCCATTGAAAGTTCTAATGAGTCCTTTAAAAGGGCCATAATGTGTTTTTAAGTTGAATTATTTCAGGACTTGAAATTAAACATAAGAAAAGAACAAGAGGATGGAAGATGTGCCTCTGAACTAGATGCCAAAACTTTTTTTTCCAAAAGTGTGACCCACTTTCCCTTTCACCCTCATACTTTCAAGTTAATGGTGTTTTCGACAAAGAAAGCACACTGACTTCTTTTAAAACTTGATTTGGACTTCTGACAGTTGGTACTTGAAAACTCATTTTGCCTCTGAGCACACTGTAGTTTAGGGTTCGTGGTTTTCAGAGGACATGTTATTTGGCAGCATTTAGCTACCTCTGACATGAAAAGAGTCACACACACCATAAACATCTGTCAGTAATTCAAAATTTTCAATACTGTTTTAAAACATGCTTCACTCATCATCTGCAAACCATAGGTATCATATGTCAACTACATGAAGAAGAATGAGCCACTTTAGGGTTCATTCCCAATATCCGTCATGCAGGCAACCTTTGGGAATCAATAACAGGTCACTTCCTGCTCTGTCATCCCTTGTGACACTTCCCTTTTTATTTTCATGATTCCATGATTTCATTGGCCCATGAAACTAGAAGGCATTTAAAGAGACCCTCTGGCTATGAGCTGATTAAGAAGGACTCCTTCTGTCTTCAGTTCTTTCTTTCTTCCTTTCTTTTGGCATCTGGCAAGTATGGGGATCTGAAACTGTGATGTTGGTGTTATAAGGCTGCACTTTAACCAAATGAGTTAACCCACACTCAATTATTTGAATATCTCTCTTCCTCCCCAATCCTCCTCATCTCTGATTCTAGCTAGTGCTGCCGGATATGCTGAACTTGAAAAGCACTTCATAATACACACACAAACTCAGAATAGCCAAAGCAATCTTGAGCAAAAAGAACAAAGTGCAGGGTATCACCCACTCTGACTTCAAAATATACTACAAAGCTATACTAATCAAAACAGCACAGTACTGGTACAAAAACAGACACAGAGACCAATGGAACAGCATAGAGAATTCAGAAATAAATCCACATACCTACAGCTAACTGATTTTTAACAAAGGAGCTATGAACATCCACTGGGGAAAGGACAGTGAATGTTGCTGGGAAATTTGGAGATCTGTCTGCAGAAGAATTAAACTAGACCACTATCTCTCACCATATACCAAAATCAACTCAAAATGAATTAAAGATTTAAATGTAAGACCCCAAACTATAAAACTTCTAGAAGAAAACATAGGCAAAACACATCAGGATACAGGACTGGGCAAAGATTTTATGAATAATACTTCTGAACCACAGGCAATAAAAGCAAAAACAAACCAGTGGGATTATATCAAACTAAAAGGCTTTTACACAGCAAAGAAAATAATCAACAAAGCAATAAGACAACCTGAAGAATGGGAGAAAATGTTTACAAACTATGCATCCAACAAGAGATTAATGTCCAGAATATACAAAGAACTCAAACTCAATAGTAAAGAAACAAATAATCTGATTTTAAAATGGGTAAAAGAGATGAATAGACATTTTTCAAAAGAAGACATACAAATGGCCAACAAGTATATGAAAAAATGCTCAACATCACTAGTCATCAGAAAAATGCAAATCAAAACCACAGTGAGGTATCATCTGATCCTAGTTAGAATGCCTATCATCAAAAATACAGAAAATAACAAATGCTGGCAAGGATGCAGAGAAAGGGGAACTCTTATGTATTGTTAGTAGGAATCCAAATTAGTATAGCCATTATGCAAAATAGTATTTCTCAAACAAATACAGATAGAACTACCATAGGATTCAGCAACCCCATTACTGGGTATATATCAAAAGGAATAGAAATCAACAAGTTGAAGGGATACCTGCACTCCTATGTTTAACATGGCCCTATTCACAGTAGTCAACAGTTGGAACCAACCTCAATGCCCATCAATGGATGACTGGATAAAGAAAATGTGGTATATATACACAATGGAATACTACTCAGCCATAAGAAAGAATGAAATCCTGCCATTTGCAGCAACACAGATGAGCTTATGTTAAGTGAAATAAACCAGGCACAGAAAGAGATATACCACATGTTCTCACTCATCTGTGGAAGCTAAAAAAGCTGATCTCATAGAAGTAGAGAGTAGGTTACTAGAGACTAGTAAGGAGGCGGGATGGGGAAAGGGTGGTCACTGGATACAAAATTGTAGAGAGATAGGAAGAATAAGATCTAGTGTTCTGTAGCAATATAAGAAGACTATAGTCAACAACAAATTAGTGTGTAACTTTGAGTAGCTCATCAAGATGATGGTGAATGTTCCCAACATGAAGAGGTGACAAATGTTTGAGGTGATGGATATGCTAAGCTTCCTGATATGATCATTGCACACAGTATGAATGTACCCAAATATTATATTGTTCTCCATAAATATATACAATTAACATGGGTGAATTAAGAAAAAATAAATTTAAAAATCTTTTTTGCCACAGTGTCAACTCAGAATTTAGTAATATGGCCTTGTGTTAGCCTTTGTCCATATGGTAAAAGAGTTGTCTGACTGAATTTAGCCTCCCAGGAGTTCTTCAACATTCGTGTCTCACGTCCAGTGTTTATTTCGTTTGGTTTGGCTCCACAGTTGAAGTCCTCAGAATCACAGAATCAATTCTGTGCATCAATTGTTGTTGCCATTGGTTAAGTTTGTCCTTGGCAAAATGCTATTTCCTGTTTTTCCAGTGCGGGACTTTAAAAGCCTCATAGAGAGAATAGAAAATTTCCAGGGTCCAGGACAACATCTCAATGGCTTCATTGGAAGGCAAAATGAAAAAAAAAATCACATAGAATTACGTGAATAAAAATGTCTCAGAAAATAATTAGTGCTGAAAGATTAATCTGAGGTATTTATTCCTATTCTGCACTAAAGATTCTATTTTTGATTAACTTGTGAACTTGATTATTTGGATTGCAAGCCATCACAGATCACAAGAAACCTTGGGTCATGGAGGTTAGGGGAAATACGGATTTATTACCACAAGTCGTACATTACAGCTGCATGACACAGATTTCCTTTTGAACTATTCCGTTGGTATTCTAGTCCCCTTTCCCACTAAAACTGATCTAATTCATGTCTATACACAGCATATGAAAATAATTTCTTAAACTCTGACTTTCTCAATCTTCAACTTTAGTATCACCACCTGTTTACAGAGCCCAGCAGACTGTTACCTAGTGAGTGGCATGATGGCCTTTGACTTCAAGCTTGTCACAGCTTCCCAGTTGCTTAATAGTTAGGATTTGATCACATCACCCAGCCCTCTTAGGGGAAGGAAGCCTAGACGTAATGGGTGCCACGAAGCTCAGCAAGCACATTTTTTCTTTTTCTTTTCTTTTCTGTCCTTTGTTTAAACTCAGCCTAATATTCAGGTTGGATTTTCCCCGAAGAAGCCCATGAGACGTGGATTTGAATGCAAGTAACTTTTTTAGGAGGTGATCCCAAAAGACACCACAGGGGAGTAAAGGACAGACACAGAAGAGTCACGAACTGGACACCTAAGTTCCTGCTGTGAGTCCAGCGGGCACCTCTGCCTCTTGGCTCACTGGAGAGAGAGAATGGATAGATACAGAGTGTAAGGAATTATCACGTCCTTCTAGGTTTACCAACTGGTCCCCCTTCTTCAAGAGCTTCCTGATCATCAGATATCCCTATCACAACCAAAGGAGAGTGGCCAAGAACAGAAAAGTAAGTTAGTGATTTCAGTAATGAACCTGTACACAAGAGTAGGGTATATTTTCACATGTCCTAACAGGGTTAGGTAGTCATATCCAAGTACAATTACCTTACAAGATGTACCACTGATTTCTTTTTTTTAAATAAATGGTATGGTTTTTTTGTGTTTTTTTTTTTTTTTTTTTTTTTGGTGGCTGGCTGGCCAGCTTGGGGATCCAAACCCTTAACCTTGGTGTTACAAGGTGGTGCTCTAACCAACTGAGCTAACTGACCAGCCCTAAATAAATGACTTCTTAAACTCTCTCATTCCATTTGGATTCCATTCCTGAAACGACCTGCAAGGTCCTGTGTGACCTG